TAAATCTAACCCCACAATACTGTGCGCGTCGTCTTTTACCAATTTCAACATCTTCCCGTTTGTCCCAACAATTAAAAAAACCCGGGGTTTTCCCCCCCCCCCCCCGGCCCCCCCCCCCCCCCCCCCCCCCCCGCAAGCTCACTTTAAAGCAGTTGCTCAAGACCATGTACAATACATACGCACAGCAATGGAAATGGCCCAAGGGCAAGACTGGGCCAGCATTCTGCATTGCAATGAGTAACTCCGTGCTTCAGTCTCAGATGGGTTGGCAAGTTCCAGAACCTGACATTCCAACAAGATGACACTCTACTTGGTTCATCTTATGTCAGATTCCAGGATTCATGTATCAAGCTGGGCAAGGCTCAAGATCGCATTCGCAACAAACATGGGAAATCGGGAAGGGCATTTTGCGGATGGAAGGAAAAGGAACAAGGTACCAAGGTACCAACCGTGCGAGCTTATGCACGATAGTGGGGTGCGGATAAGATGTTGGGGATATGCGCGACCCGCTCTATCACTTGCGCTAAGCGACCTCCAATTTTTTCTTATCCCATTTTTTACCCTTGTGTCTCAACAATTGGGGTTCTCGCCTCAGTAAATGGACGGGGGGTGATTGATGTATCGCCAACCTTCCCGGTTCCTCGATTCGATACTATGCGTATATCTCTCATTTGGAACCTGGGCTGTTAGATTTTAGACGCTGTTATCCCTGCCGGTGAAATAACTAGAATGGGAAGGCAACGTGGCAGGTACACCACTGGAGCTACCACATCCCCGGGTTTGCTGGACTGATGTCACGGTGGCCAGGGAGGGGGGAAAAAAGGGTTGAATCCTGAAAGCTCTGTTGAGATCATCCCCATTACCCGATACCACGCAGACACAACTATCTGGGTCGGTCGCTCGACTTGTTCAAGGTGGAATGGAATCTGGAGGATCTTTCTGGATACTTTGCAGAGATCCCTGGCCGGTCATTGGGACGATGATCTGGTATCACAATGTTGGATGCTGTCATGATTCGGAGTCCGAGGGGCTTTGGTGGAGTTGATCGGCCAACCACGGCACCATGGAAGTCACGCCCACCCACTCCCGCCAGCTCCGTGGACAATCAGCGTACGCATCTGTCTTTCGAGCTAGGTATCTCTCTCGCGCATACGGACCTAAGGAACTCGGCGATTCAAATTCTCGGCAGTGGAAATATGGTGCTGCAAGCTGACGTCCTTGTTGCGGTCCTTCCGCAGTATGCGTAGGTACCTATTTTCTGGGTCCCCAGGGATGAACAGGGAAGTGCACTTGGGGGGACTTTCCCCAACATCCCGGGTGCTGCTTTGATTGGCCGAATTTGGTGAATTGTGGTCGCCTGGCTGAATCTTCGCCTTTCAGCACCAGTGCCATTGGATGCAATTTCCATCGAAAATTAGCGGGACCTGGACTAAATCCCGATATCCATTTTTGTCCAGGACTCGTAATGCAATGTACAGAATATAGATTACATCCTCGAACGCCGGCCCCGTCTCTTTTTTAATAATACGTGTCAGAGCCCGCACCTTCCAGATACGAGTGTTGTCTTCATTCTGCAATTTTTCTTCCGTGTCACACAATCCAAACTTGAGCAGATGCACATTCCTGCCAATTGTTGAATCGGACACCGCACGCCAGTCGCCCCTTACTCAGCCCGCGACCCCCACACGACCGTCGCAGCAGACATCCCCCGTCTGCTTCTACATCCTCCCTTCAACCACCCCCGACTGCTGGCTTGCAGACCTCAAACTGGCCACACGTACGATTCGCATCCTCTTGAGCACACGGCGAGCTCGACCTCTGCTTTCGGCGCTTGCATGACAACGCAGACCTTCCTCTGCTGAATCCGCGCACCATCTTTTCCTCCGACTCGCACTCTTCCACACTGCCGCAGCCATGCCCGAAACGACTGGTATCGCCAATGGCAGCAAGCGTACAGTGGCCAAAATGAACGGGAAGGCAACGTACGCAGAGAAGCACAAGGTCGCCGACCACTTCATTGGCGGCAATAGCCTGGCAAATGCTCCACCGTCCAAGGTGAAGGATTTTGTCGCTTCCCACGATGGCCACACTGTCATTACAAACGTAAGCTGGTCCCCTTCCCCCCAATTGGGCTTCAGTCCTGAATTCGGTCACTTTCTGGGTCTACACACCATTTCTGCGGATCGGGCGCTGACAATTCGGTCGTTTGACAGGTCCTCATCGCAAACAACGGAATCGCCGCCGTCAAGGAAATCCGGTCTGTCCGAAAATGGGCGTACGAAACATTCGGCGACGAGAAGGCCGTCCAGTTCACCGTGATGGCCACGCCCGAAGATCTGCAGGCGAATGCCGACTACATCCGAATGGCGGACCACTACGTCGAGGTTCCGGGCGGCACAAATAACCACAATTACGCCAATGTGGAACTGATCGTGGACATTGCCGAACGGATGAATGTCCACGCCGTGTGGGCAGGATGGTAAGTCGGGTTTGACCCAGGTTTGGGGCGCGGGGGGGGGGGGGGGGGGCGGGGGGGGGTGGGGGGGGGGGGGGGGGGGGGGGGGCGGGGGGGGGGGCCG